TCTGTCAATGAGCTTCAAACGAGAAGTATAAACAATTTATGAAGAGATACTTGTATTTCGGGCACAGGGAACCAGTTTTGTAGCACAGAGTTTTCAAGTTTTGTAATACAGAGTTTACATGCCATATTATGCAGTAATTAAGGAATCTAGCTCTATGAGTAAAATACGTGGGGATTTTAATGCTACTAGTAAGTCTTCATCGAGAATACCTCTTAACAACATACTGATGACAGGCAGTAGAATACAACAAGAACTGTTTCTAATTTTGATAAAATTCAGATGTTACCTTGTTGTTGTAGCTGATATCATGGAAATGTTTAGAAAAATTTTAGTTAACGAAGAGCATACAGACATTCAAAGAGTAATTTGGTGGGACAATCCACACCAGTCTAATTCAAGAATTTCAACTTAAAACTGTCGCATATAGCACTGCCTCCGCTTCCTATTTGGCTACTCGCTCTTTATACCACCTTGGCTAAGGTGAGCAGAATAACTATCCTTTGGCTGTGAAAGCTATACTTCAAAATTTTTTTGTAAATGATTATTTGGCAGGTGTTCAAAATATAGAACAATGCATAACCTTAGTAAACCAACACTTGCAAATGTTAGAATATGGAGAATTTTTTTCTATGTAAATGGTCATCAAATGACTTGTCAGAGTTATAGAATATACCCAAAGAGTTGAAAAATAATTCTGAGCCTATGAAAATTCAAGACAATAGCTCGATCAAAATTTTAGGAACTAACTGGAACCCTGGGATGATTACTTTAACTTTTTCTTGTCCAATTTTGGAGAAAAGTTTAAATACAATAATAGAGGTATCATTTCTAATTTAGTGACAATATTTAACCCTTTAGGTTGTCTTGCTTCTTGTAATAGTTATGTCAAGTAATGGTAAATATATGCGGGAACTCAATTTATCATGGGATGGGCCTGTTAGTGATGATGTTGCTATTGAAGAAATGGAAGAATTTTTGACAATTAAAAATACTAAATATACTGATATTTATGCTTTCTGTCATGCCTCTGGCTACCCTGCTGCTATACATTTGCGTTCAGTATCACAAAAGTTGGACATTAAAATATTATTCTTATCACCAAAAACGAGAGTTGCTCCTCTGAAGGTACAATCACTATCTTAATTAGAGTTATCCCCCCTCCCCGCAGTTTTGTTAGTGTATTTACTTAAATCGATGTTAGAGCATTTAGAATTTCCAATACATAATGTACTGGCTTGGACAGATTACTGTTGCACTGTTCTAGATTTCTTTAGAACCTTATTATTGGGTTCCCTTTGTTGCAAACTGTGTTACCAAAATACGGAACACAATTTCTAATGTAAAATCAAACCATATCAATGGAAAGCTGAACTCAGCTGGTATAGGTACAAGAAGAATGTACCCAGCCAAATTCTTGAATTGTAAGCACTGGTTTCTGGGACCTACTAGGTTATATTCACATGAATTCGAAACATGTCCTGACAGTAAACATCTTTCTGTTGATGTAAATTACAAAAGAGTTTGTAGAAAAGAAAGAAAGAAAACAACATTTTTAAACAAAATTTGTCTTGATCAAAATTATGTTGTAAAGTTGTTCTATGCCGTAAATTAATTTACAACTGTCAAAACCCCATCGAAAATCATTTGAGAGGTCTACTGACAACCAATGAGCTTAGATTAGCTACCAAAACAGTAATAAAAATGTCTGAGAATCTTCTTTTCCTCAAGAGCTCTTTTGTTTAGAAACAGCAAGAGAATTAAAAAGTGTGCACAGTTGAGTAATACAATTAACATTCTTCCTTGATGAAGAAAGCATCATTCGTGTAGGAGCCTTCAAAAATGCAAATATTCCTGAAAATAGCAAACATTCTATTTTGCTTCCAAAAAGACGAACACATCTCTAATTTCACTGTAATTCATAATCATTACCATGTCAATTATTTGCATGTTGATCAAGAGCTACTGATAAGCATTTTACAAATGCAATTTTCGATTCTGTTGGTGAGAAGTGTAGTACGAAAGAGAATTCACAGATGTATTCCTTATATTAGAAATCAAGGCAAGACTGCGACCCAGATAACAGGTGATTTACCCTTGACTCGAGTTCAACCTTCAAAAAGTTTTGCAATTAATGGTGTTGATTAAGCTAGTCCATATTCAATTAAGTCCCAAACTGGGAGAAGAGCTAAGACTTTCAAGTGCTATATATCCATTTTTGTATGTTTCGCAACTAATGCTGTGCACTTGGACTAAGTCAGTGACCTATTTACTTCAACGTTTTTAGAAGCTCTAAAAAGATTTACCACCCAATGTGGCAAACGATCTAAAATTTTGAGTGACTGTGTGACTAACTTCAAAGGTGCCAGAAAGGAACCAAAAGAGATTAATAAAAATGCTGCTTTCATCGAGAAAAGCAATGACGTGTGTAATTTCATTACCTCAGAAGGTATAACTTGGCTATTTAACCCTCCAACATCCCCTCACTTTGATGGCTTATGGGAATCTAATGTGAAGTCCATGAAATTTCATCTTAAAATAGTATTGGAATTCCCACTAACTTACAAGTCATTTTTAACAGTGCTTACATAAGTGGAAGCATATATGAAATCCTGTCCTCTATGAGCGATCTGAAGTGATCCAAATGACCAGTGCACTGACTCCAGGTCATTTTCTGACTGGAGCCCCTTTGCTTACCATGTCTGAATATGACTTTAGAGGTGTTAAGTCTTCCAGGCCTAAATGTTGGTCTCTAGTTCAACAAACTGTGCAACAGTTTTTTGGAAGCACTGGTGCACAGATTATTTGACAACTCTTCAACAATGTCCTAAGTGATTCGTGTGTCTCCAAATCTAAAATTTGGTGACTTAGTACTGATCAAAAACGAACAACTGCTTCCAAACCAATGGAAAATTGGAAGAATTGTCCTAATTCAACACGCAACAACAAAAGAGTTCGAGTGGCTATAGTCCATAGAGCCGCTAGAGATTTTAAAAGAACAGTGGCTGTGTCTTATTCCTAGTAATGACTAAATGTGAACAAATGACTTTACTCTTATCACTGACCTGTAATTTTTATATAGTTTTTTGTTAATGTTTATTTTCTGTACTTTAACTGTTTCGTCTTTTTTGAACCCTTAGAAGGCTTCAAGGCCAGGGACTATAAATGTGGTTTCTTTCCTTTTTTCTAAGCAAATTTTAGTGTGTATTGACAACAATAGATGGCATTACCTCTATGTGATTCATTTATGGTTGCCATGGGAACGAGTTGCTTTGTATGTACTAGTTTATTTTATTCTAGCTTGCTGCTACACTGCAAAAGTGCAACTATAAAAAACTGTGCTGTTATGAGACTGTTTTTCTTCAATATTAAAGGGCTACTGCTTTTTTTAGTCCATTATTTCATCTATTTTGCATTCTATTTCATAACTAGAAAGTAAACACTGAAAAATGCTTGCTTGAATTTATCAATGTATTACAGGCTTATTGATCTTAAGGTTTCATTAACGATACCTCTGTGTGTCAATTCCAAACTTTTACATATTTTAAATCTTGGACAAAAGGTTCTCAAGGAATTCCCAGATGGAAAGGCTGGAGATAAATAACTGCTTTATCAAGCAGCAAAAATATATTCAGAATGTGGAATTTCTACTTTATTTACAACTTATAAAATACCTACAAATATTGTTACATACCTTTAATAACTATTCCCGAAAATGAAAACCAAGCTGGAATATTTGGAATACTAGACTCTTCACCCTATTACAGACACAGTAAAGACAACCCAGTAGATGTTCTGCTGCTTTATACAAGGCAGCTAGCTCTATATGACTCACGAAATCAAAATTTCCAATTTTTTGAGAAAATTCTCTGCCTAAGATTCTTACATTAAACTGCCAACCATGAAGGCACAAAAATTAGAAAGGCTGTTTTTCAATTTGCTGGCATAAATTGAAACAAGAACCAATTTTTGACCCATCACTTATTAAAAACTTGTGACCCTTCTGAAATTCAAAGTATTGCTTTGTTAGTGAATGCTTGTTAGCCTATTTTGAAACAGAACTGTAGTAGAAAAATTTTGTTTTCCACTGATGAAATCAGTGAAAACCACTCAAGAATGTTATCCAAATAACGAAAGACTGGATTTTTACACAGATGGCTCTAAGCTTAATATAGCAAGTGTGCAACTAATGCTGGTGTTTAGCTTTCGTTTCTACCATTACCTCATGATTTTCAAAGCACAGCCTTTGACAAAAATTCAGACATCACTTTTGACTTTAAAAGCACAAAGACCTCTGGATTTCTTAAATGATGCCATTTTTTTTCAGATTGTTTTACTGTTTTACAGACCATAGCCTATCAAAGTTAACCAGCTTCAAATCCAAAAGTTCAAGAATGCCACTTAAATATTTATCTGATTCTCCTAAATGAATTGAAGAGTTCATTTCATTCATTGTGCCATACCTGCTAATGAAGTGGCAGATGATTTGGCAAAGAAAGGCACCAAAATAACATTTCGTATTTCCGATAAATATTATTTAAAAGGAGTTTATAAAATCAGTTATGCTTAAAAGTGCTTTTATTAGGGATTTTAAAAATCATATTAAAAATAAAGCCTAAAAACACTGCAATAGCTGTGTTCTGACACAAAGTTGAATATGAGCGCTCAACTTTGAAAATAATTGGAATTTTCAACAGCCCAGAGTGTCTGTCCTCTTTACAGTTCTGGCTTCATAAATAGTCATCACCTCTTTCTTTATGTTATTAAAAGATTCAAGATCGTATGAGATTCTCTTCATAATAATTTAGCTAAATTATACTTAATTGCCTAAATTTTATTTTTGACATTAAATTTTATCTGTACGTTTTCTTGCTTTTCCCCACTCTTGTATTTTATTGCCTACGGACAAGTTTTCAAAGGCTTTTGTGCACTGGAAATTAAAAAAAAATCACGAATCATGAATGCACTGGAAATAAAAAGTCTGCAAATGAATAAGCACTAACCTCTGGTTTTTAAAACTTGAATTACAAGCCTGTTATTATTATCATAAGCATATACAAATGTGAAGGAACAGTCTTCAGCATCCTTAAATGTGCAGTTTCTTTCATTTGGAAGAATATCTAGGGGGGAATAAAATAAATATTTTACAAAATTAAAACCTGTTTTCAGAAATAATTTTAATTCCTATAACTTTACCTATTGTCCTATTTTCGTTTTTAAAAACTCATTAATATAAAATGAAAATAAAATTATAGAAGTTACACACACAAAAAAAATATTAGACAATTATTCTTGCACTGCAGTATAATATAACACTATTCCCCCCCCCAAAAAAAAACTGGAGCCAAAAAATATTCTAATACTATTTAGAAATGAAAATAAAATTCAATCAAATTTAAAAATAACGTTTTGAGACAAACTGCATATTTCTTATTATCATGGAAATATTTTCTCCAAACATATCTTTAATTAAGAAAGAAAAGTGAACAAACTTCATTAGACACAAATTTTTTACTAGAGCATAAGCATTAGCAATAGTAGCACTATGGCACCATGTTTGAGTTTAACTTACCAAGTTTATTTTTAGTTTACATTTTTCCTACCGTCTCATTTTGTGATAGATTTTTCTCATTCCAGAGATTATACAGATTTGATTAGCAAGCAAATTAGTCTAAAGTTAGAGGATCAGTTTGCAGTTAAGAAGGGGGGGGAGAAAGCATGTAGCCACAGTTTGGATTTATGCTTGGTGCCTTGCCATCCAGCTTATTATTTGGCAAACAGCTGCTACCATGCATTAATCTCAAAGCATATTTACATGATAAAATTCAGATTTGGAGAAGCTGTTAATAGTCAGTTTATGAGTTTGTAGCCTCTGTTAGAAGGTGATTAAATATTCCATTTAGAAGATTTTTAACACCGAATTTTGTGTTCACCATGAGATCTAAATAACTGGTAACTTTGTGTTTTAATACTTTTAGTTTAACACTCATAATTTGTGAGGTAAGAGAAATTTAATATAAATTAAATATTCAAGTCTGTTTGTTTCAGAGATAGTTAAAGTAGTAGTAAAACTCGCTAAGTTAGCTTCCAAGTAACACCTGAAGGATAGGAGAGGAACTTGAAAAAGAGTTAAGAATTAGATTTATCTCCACATAAGTGTTACAGTAAATTGGGAAGTTGAATCATGAATGCTTCACTTCCCAAACAATTCAGTTTACAAATTATCTGAACAAAAAGTGCCTTGGATGAACAGCATCTTGAGATCCACACTCAAGTCAGCAACGTACAATTTTTACAGGCATTTTGAAGTAACCTATGTCACATAATTAACATTCAGGGACTTCTGAAAACATCATTTTAATATTTTCTGTTTAACTTAAATGTAAAAATTCACATTACAACAGTCTTAAAGCCTGGCAGCAAATAGCCTGCAGGACCACGATTTCAGCCTGGAGGAAATTATGGCCAAATTAGATTGCATGCAAAGACTTTCAATATTTAGGGCTTTGTTATCTATGATATCACATTTCTAGGCAAAAACATGGGCTACGAAATTAACAATCAAGACATGGAAAAGTTACTTAAAAACTACAAAAATGAGTTCACTAAGAAAATTACCACAGCTTTAAGAGCAGCAAAGAAAAGTAATTGTGGAAGAAATGACTTCAGAAGAACAAGAAGAAAGAAAACTTACCCTAATCTTCAAATCTGCGAAATTTGTGCAGGATAAAATAGAAAGTTTTTCACTTAATGACATTGCTTTGATAAAGCAGTAGCTATAAGCATTTCAATGACAAAGCTATGTCTCACTTTAGAAACATTTTACACATTAAAAAGTTGAACAAAACAGAGGCCCAATGAGTCTCAGACGGAGTTGAGTGACACCTAGAGACAAATAAAAGAAGACGCCTTCTAAACGACAGTACAGTGGTACCTCGACATACGAGTTTTATTCGTTTCGTAACCTTGCTCGTATGTCAAATTGCTTGTATCTCAAAGCAATTTTAACCACTGAAATTAACTGAAATGCCATTCATCCGTTCCAACTCCCAAAACATACCTCATTGTTTTTGTTAAGGTTTTTGAAAGAAAATGTATTTACAGAAACATTTATTTAAAATAACAAATAAATTATAAAAAATATTAAAGAAAAAGTGAAGTGCTAATTTTTGTTATGGTCACGCTTTTTCATCACGCTTTGCTCTTTTCACCCAGATTGTTTAAAAAAACTGTCCAGGAGGTGTTTCTTCGAGAGGGGAGGATAGTGAGGAAGAGTTAGGCAGTTTGTTGAAAACCGATGCACGACATTTTGCAAAATTTTCGGGGTGATTTTTATCAACAACTCACAATTTCTCCCCATTCCAGAATCTACTGAAGGGATAACTCTCCATTCGCACCTCTTCAAAATAATTTTTATCTACCTCAGACCAGGATTTTCCAGAAAACAATCTCCCTATACGACACTCGGGTTCATCTTGAAGGCCTTTTACTCAGCTCAGGCCACAACTTCTTCCATGTAGAGGTTGGGCCTTGTGTAACACCAGCCAGGCCTGATCAATAATTCTTAGGCCTATCACGAGTTAAAGTATCCTTCCAGAATCTCGAAGGGTAAGTTTGGGCTCTCTGTCACCCAAAGCAGCGCCGAAAATGTCTGGTGGTACAACTTCTTAAAATTAGAAATCACATCCGATCCATGGGCGTCAGGATAGGAGGTGTTGGGTGGTAGGTAGAGAACTTATAAATTGAACCTTCGAGATTTGGTGGGTTTAGCAGAGTCATGCGAGGCGAGAAGGGCTTGCATGGGTAGGTTGTTTCCTGTAGAGTTTTTTACGAAGGCCAAAACCAGGTTTTCCACTTCACAAGAATTTCCTGTGACCCATGCCTTCGGTTGCCCTCACACAACTCGTTTTTCTTTTAAAACTATGTGACTAAAGCTAGGGATTTTCTGAAAGATATACTAGAGAGGCTTGATTTGCAGTCGACTCGCATTGAGCAAAGTGCTAGAGTTTTCTCTTCATGGGTTTTCTGCATATCTGTGACGCCATATTAAGTCCTTTCTCACAGGAAGCCCTGTCTGTACGTTTGAAGACTTGCTGGGAGTATCCTTGCTTAATCAGTTCAGAAAACGGTGTAAACCTCAGCGCCTTCACTCCGAACTGCTCCTCATCATGCCTGAAATGGCGTGAAGCGGTCGTTTTGCTAAGTTGTCAACCAGCTCCAACTGAGTCTCTATTTCCTTGTTTTGGAGTGTGTGGGATCTGCTCAGCAAATTCCGTAATCGCTCGTGCCTTCTCAATTGATGCTTTGGTCAAGGTCCTTCTTGAAACTGCTTCTCTGTCACCACACCTCAGTAGTTTCCCATCTTTCATGGAGAGAGTGTCCGGACTTAGAAATTATTGTCGCCTTAGCTTGCATTAACCCTTTACCAACCTTCGTTTAAGAACAGACATACTTGATGTCTACGCCCGCACATCTTGTCAGTCAATTACTGCACACCTTGCTATGTTTTCTATGATCTATGCTTAATTCAATAACATCATCGTTCGACAATGGTTATAAAAGAATGTGAGATGGGGGTAAAGTAAAAAAGAAAAGCAAAAAAAAATCAAAAAAGGGGGAAAACGAGGGCGACAAACACGACTGAGTTGTCTGGTGGGGAACTGTAAGGGGTGTGGAACCAAAATCTTCAAATTGTGATTTCGGATTTTTGTTTTTAAATTCTCTACACTTTTATCTTTCTAAAAATACCATTCTTTAATCTCTATGAAAATTAAACTGTAAAAAAATCTAGTTTTAATTGTCATCGACTGCTTTGATATGAGGATTTTACATAAAAACGCGTTTTTCTCCAAACTGATTTTTTTATACTCGATTACCTTTTCTCGGAATGCAGCTCAGGATCTAAAATTTATGGCTTATTTATTAGGTTTCCTAATATTTTGAAATGAGCTTTTTGTAATAACTAGAAAAAAATTTTTAATTTTTTTGTGTGAGAAATGCAAATTTTACTATGCCTAACAAATATTCTGTAATTTACTCTAAATTACTGTTCTAAAGCTCATTTCAGTATAATAGGTATACTTTTACAAAAAATTCAGTTGTTCTACAGCAGATTTTGAGAAAAGGTACATCGAAAATGGCCAATTTAACATTTTCGGTATAGGGGTTTCTGATACCCCTCAAGACGCTGCACATGACACCAATATGTGTGCACATGTTGTGGTCTTGTGCAGCGGTGTAGCATGCGATTCTTCGTATTTCAAATCTTGCTCTCATCTCAAAGCAAAATATCGCTTGCTCGGTGGCTCATATCTCAAAACACTCGTATATCGAGGTACCACTGTAAGTTATTTTATGTTTGTATAGACCCTAGGAACACTGAGATATACAATCTGAAATATCTAATGTACTAGCACATTAAAGTTGAAAGATATCATATTCGGCATGGGTCGACACAATGCTTTCAATGCCAAAGATACCATCACGTGCAGGCAGCGTGTCACCATCTGCCACGCTGTTGTAAATGTGTAAGCCCCCATGAAAGCAAGGATTGCCCAGAACCCAAAGATTCTGAGCCGAAATGCTGTAACTGTCTCAGGAATCATAACAGCAATCGGAGGGGTTGTCTCGGGAAGCAGAAACCCAACGCCCTTAAGTTTGAAGAAAGGGTAATTATCAATAAATCCTATGACCAGGCTGTAAAATCTAATATTTTTGCTGGGAAAATTCAGAAAGCTGTAGTGGACGCTCAGCAGGTCATGAAGAACATTGCTGATCTTATAGCACTTCTACACAATACTACTACCATGGCTGAAAAGCAAAAGTAAAAACACAATGAGGCCCGAAACTGAGATAAATTATGGATCGTAGGTCCTTATTAAAATGGCCCCCGTGACGATCATGAAGTGGAAATGAGCAAAACATTACCACCAAAATTAGTGAACTGCAAGATTTTCTCCCACACTACAGCATTGACATTGCAGTAATCACTGAGACACACGCTACGCCAGCACAGTTCCTGCGTATTGCTAACTACCGCAGTTATTGCTGTGATAGGATCAGACATAGAGGGGCCTTAATCTATGTCAAAGGGAGTCTGGACTCCTACGCTTCTGACAGT